TTAATTTGTCTGTGTTGCTGAGTTCATAACCACAAGGGAACTGAGGATCTGGTGGTGACTGGCGCCATAAGTCAGTATAGACAATCCACATGAGGACTACCCCCAAACAGGGAGGCCTAGCAGCAGACAGAACTGCTTATTAAGTCATTTCAGCATGATTTTCTGTTGAAAGATGCAGCTCAAAAAATAGAAGGTATTTGGACTAGAAAACAACCCTACTTATAGCTGAGAGGAAGGTATTCATGTCCGTGGGCTTCAACACAACATGGAGGTTTAGTCTCTGACCTTCAGTTCTCCAAGGGCAGGAGAGGGCAGTGAATCGTGGAATCCAGATGGAGGGAAAGACATACCATCCTCATGAGGATGTCAGGGACTTCAGAGGAGTCAGGGAGACAGAAAACATGGGCAGTGATGTAGTTCTCGGTATAAGCATAGTGTGCCATGTTTTAATGACCAGAATCCTCAGGGCTAGGGATCAGTAAGAAGGCACTGATCCCCTCTTACCTTTTTACTTTAAACAGGACCTCCAGTCATTCATTCAGGAATCAAAGATCTCAAGGTCTTGAAAACGACCCAGTCTGGATTTGAAGGATTTATCAAGGACCAGTTCACCACCCTCCCTGAGGTGAAGGACCGGTGCTTTGCCACCCAAGTGTACTGCAAGTGGCGCTACCGGGGCAAAGACGTGGACTTTGAGGCTACCTGGTATGAGCATGTGCTAGGGCCTAGCGCTGGCACAGGTAGTGTCTGCCCTTGTCCTTGGGGCCTGGAGTTCATGAAGTCTTCAATTTAAAGGGGACCTTGGAGGCCACTCGAGTCAACTTCCCCACTGTTCAAAATCCTTTTTGTTGGACAACAGAAAATCAATGGTCTTACTTTGAGTTGATAAATCTGCGCTTGAATCTCCGATTCTATTAGTAATAATGACCTTGAATGGACCACCTAATTTCCATGACCATCTGCTTTTCATTGGTGAAATAGGTAGTTCTAAAATATGATTGTGTTCACAGAATCACAGGGAAGGCTTGTTAGGATGTATGTCACTGGGCTCACCCCCCAAAAGGTTCTGACTGGAGGTCTGACGTGAAGCCTGATAACTTGCATTTCTAACAAACTCCCAGGTGATGCTGATACTGCTGGGCCAGGACCCCATGTTAAGAACCTCGGTATCAAGTGAGGATAATGATATTTGGCTTTACTACTTCATCATAGATGCAGAAAGGGTTAAACTTTCTGCATCAAGGATTTTTCTAATTTTCCAACTGAAAGTCTCATGTCCCAGGAAACCTCTTGGTCCCAGCAAACTGTGACAGTCGGTCACTTTAAGCTACACTCAAAACGAGATAACATTCACTGAAGCACTTTATAAATGATAAATGCCTTAGCAATATAAAGGTATGATTAAATAGTAATATCTTTACAAGCTATAATTAAGCCTCTGTACCCCCAGAGTTTACTTTTTGACCAGGCATCTCATTTCTTTGCTGAAGCTCTAATTGTTCAAAACTTCTAAGCTATGATGAGCTGGAATCTGCCCCGGTAGCTTGCTCCCACTGGTAACGCTTAGCTCTGCTCCTTTGATGATGTGACAGGCTGGGAAATGCTTAAAGAGAAACTCACCTCAATCTGTGTTTCCTTTTTTATTTCAAGCGTTTCCCATGGGCAGCAGCTTGATATATTTTTGTTGAAAAGAGTACAAAATTGAGCATGCCAGAGTTAGGGTGCTAGTTGGGCCTCCCACTAAAGAGAAGGACTTCAAGTGGATTATTTAATTTTTAAGCTCAGATTCCTCACCTATAAATTGGGGATAATAACAGCACCTGCCTCAGGTATATTAAGAGAATTCAATAAAATAATAAAATAAAATATTTAGTGCAGAGAAAAACAAAAAACAAAAAAACACCCTAAAACAGCAGTTCAAGGAATCAGCCATGCTGAGCAGTAAGAGTGCTGGAGTGCTTGGGAGTCCCCTTCGTGGGTTCTTCAAGCACAGATTTATCCTGGAATTCCCACTGGGCCCTGGTGCCAGGTTAGGAAAATAGCCCAGTGACACCCAACATGTTTGTTGAGTGGTATTTGGCTTTACTACTAATTTAATTCCTGAAATTTTCTGGGCCTTCTGTGTGTGTGTGTGTGTGTGTGTGTGTGTGTGTGTGTAAGGAAATAGGAAGTGAGGTTTTTTTTTTTAAATATTACAAGATATTAATATCTTCTAAAATCAACAATAAAATTGCTTTCTGAGGGACAGGAAGGTCACCGCTTCTCAGTTTTATAATGCATTCCTAAAGACCACCCTATGAGTCTTCAGTTCTCTTTTCTGTGTTCTAGGGACACCATTCGGGACATTGTCCTGGAGAAATTTGCTGGACCCCATGACAAAGGCGAGTACTCACCCTCGGTCCAGAAGACCCTCTATGACATCCAGGTGCTGTCCCTGAGCCGGGTTCCTGAGGTATGTTTTATCACTTGCCGTTCTGAGGACTGAGAGAACTTGTTGTGTCTCATGTCAACTCTGAGAAAGAGTTGAGAGTTAAAATAAGAAAGTGGGAGACACATGAAAAATGACATCTGTTGTTGTTCAAAAGCTTGTTATAGCAAGTGAGGAGAGAGTAAAAAATGGAAAAAATCTGTCCAACCTGAAAACACAGGCCAGTGCTATAGTTACTTAGCTTTGCTGAAAATTCTTTGAGTCTTTTCATCTTGCCATATTTAAGTTTCAGGAGATCCAGAAAATGAAGGATAGATGTGGAGTGATTTTATCTATCCATCCAGCCATCCAGCCAGCCATTTGATATTATTGAATGGTTATTACGCCTCTGTCAAAGCATGAGGAATACAGAGATACATTAGTCATGGTCCCTACCCTCGAAGATAACATCATTCAGTGAAAGAATCATATCAGTAAACTATATGCAATAAAGAATAAATTATTATTGAAATACAGAGGAAGGTACCTAACTCAGGTACAGGGGATAGGACCATCCAGGCTTTCTGGAGGGAGAGGTGTTTGAGTTGAGTCTTAAGGAACAAGTGGGGGTTATCTGGGTTCACATTTAGAAGTGAGGGAGCAGAGTCGTATGGAGACAGGAGGCAGCGTGGAATAGTCATCTACTGCTGAGGGTCTGCCGCATGTGAAGCTCCGCGAGTGAAATCTTTCTATGTGCCTAGAGGTGAGGCAGGAGCTAGATCAGGGGGCCTCTGTGGTCTTAGTGACAGTCTGTATTGTATCCTGAAAGCTCTCAGGGGTTTAAGCAGGGTCTGATGCCACCATATTTGCACTTGAGAAAGATCACTCTGAAAGAAGTGTAATAAATTAAAAGGATGACAGACTTCAGACAAGAACTGTTGAAAGGCTGTGGCAGAAATCTAAAAAATGGACCTGAACTGTGGCCATGAGGGGCTAGGCGGGAAGAGTACTACCCTTGGACCTGGGCAGAGGGGCTCCCGCCATGGCCCAGCGCACCCTGGAGGCTCGCTTCAGGCCTTCCTCTGGCTGAGTTTCCTTCCGCTGGATGAAAAGTCAGTAAGACCAACGCAGGAGCCCGTGCACCCCCCCTAGACCATTCTCTGGGTAACTGTAGCCCAGAATTTCCTGCCCAAATAACCCTGAGACTAATTCCAGAGCCTGAGCAGTCTCTTCCCTAGATCCACCCTCTGGAGGGCAGATCATGCCATCGGTGTGTGTACCCTTAGGTGTGAGAGTGGGCAAAAGTCAGATGTTTGCAGGAGGGATGAATGGGACTTGATATGTAAGCTGGGATGTCCGCCCACCTGACGTAAGAAAGAAGATGGGGCCAAAACCGGTTTGGCTCAGTGGATAGAGCGTCGGCCTGCGGACTGAAGGGGCCCAGGTTCGATTCCGGTCAAGGGCATGTGCCTGGGAAGAAAGAAGATGGGATGGGCCAGGGCTGGGGACTGACTCTTCATATGCTGCCATGTCCTGGATGGCACTGGGAGGAGTCAGAGAACTTAAATCTGATCCTGGCCTTCCAGGTTGCGATGAAGGTATATTTGTCAAATTAGAAAGATACAACATATTTTACAGAAAAGTTTTTTTTTAGCTTGATTTATAACTTCTAAATCTTTAGACATCTGGTATGTGGGCCTCCAATTATACTCTTACCTCAGGGCCCACACATGTTAGGGAAAAGCCTGGAGCATTAGGAGTGGAATGAGGAGGGAATTAGGAGCTTGACTGGCCAGGCCCAGGAGACCAGTTAGATGCTGAAGAGGTCTCCCAGGTTTCTTTCTTTAAAAAAATTTTCTTTTTTTAATGATTTCAGGGGGGAAGGGAGAAGGACAGAGAGATAGGAACATCAATGAAGAGAGAGAATCATTAATTGGCCTCCTGCACATCCCCTACTGGGGATGGAAGCACAACCCCACCATGTGCCCTGACTGGGAATTGAGGTTATAGGTTGACGCTCAACCCCTGAGCCACACCGGCCAGGCAGTCTCCCAGGTTTCTGATCCAAGAAACTCTTGCTTTTCTGAGAAGCAGGTTTTGTACATGGAGAGAAGAAGCGTGGGCCCACTGTCTAATAATAGGACCAGCAGAGGAGAACAGTGTTGGGCAGTAGAGGACCATAGAGGTTGTTTCAGAGATAGACGAGGAACCTGAGTAACTGACTAGTGGGTAGGTTGGGGAGGGGGTGAGTGGTGGATGGATAGATGGATCCACAGTTGCCCAAGGTGATGTGTACTATGGTGGATTCCAGATAGAAGACATGGAAATCAGCCTGCCGAACATCCACTACTTCAACATAGACATGTCCAAAATGGGACTGGTCAACCAGGACGAGGTAAGAACTTTAAAAATATTTAAAGCACATCTACCCTCCCCCCGCCCTCCTTATAAACTTGGGTTGATAATGTCACTGACCAAAACTCTTGAGAGCCATTGCTTTTGGAGTATTTATAGTTGCCACTGAGGAGAGCCCTGACTCTGGGCCTCTCACTCTCTGAGGCTGGAGCACCTGGAAGTGGGTGAGTGATTATAGAGGAGGGTTGGAAGTCGCCCAGGGTGAAAGACAGAGAAAGAACAGAGTGTGCCCAGGGAAACAGCCCTGAGATCTTCTCTGGAAAGTGCCACACAAGGTCACAGCTTCATTATTTTCCCATCACGAGGCGGTGAGGAGAAATAAAAGGTTCCATTTTCATCTCGTCCATCATCTCTAACTTTTGATTAAGTAGTCAATTCTGTAGCATACAATATACACAAAAAAAGGATGAAAGCGAGTTTGTGTTTCTACTTGCGATCACGGAAGGCACGATGGGAAAATGCAGGTTTTGAAAGGAAAGCTAGTCTTGGAAAAAGCGCTCACCCTGGCTTATTTTTAGCCGCGGCAGACGGTTAACCAAGTCAGTGCGTCTGACTAGACAGCTCGAGGTCCCGACAGGCAACCTGTGGCAGCCAGTCCTGTGAGAT